AAAAAAAAATGCCGGCTCCAAAAAATTTAGCCGAGTTACAAAGCTTCTTGGGCTTAGTAAATTATTATCAAGAATGTATTCCTAACATGCACAAATAACGCGCACCCCTAAACGAACTGTTGAAGAAGGAGAAAGTTTGGGAATGATCATATGAATGTCAGGAAACTTTCGACAAAATCATTAAGACTTTAACAGCAGATTTATTTTTATCTCATTATGATCCAAAATTGGAAATAATAGTCGCGAGTGACGCGAGTGTCTATGGTGTTGGGGCATGTATACTTCATAAAATGCCGGATGGGACACTAAAACCCATCGCGCATGCGTCAAGCAGCCGAACAAAATTACTCGCAAATCGAAAAAGAAGCGCTGGGGATTATTTTTGCGATTACAAGATTCCACAGATATATTTACGGTAGATTTTTCACCTTGCAGACGGCCCACAAGTCGTTACTAACAATATTTGGATCAAAGAAAGTTCTACCTGTCTACACTGCTAATAGATTACTAAGATGGGGAATGATTTTATTAAATTATAATTTCAAATTGGAGTATCTTCCATCAAACAAAATCGGGCATGCAGACGGTCTTTCGAGACTAATACCAAAGAAAATGGAGTCATTAGAAGATTCCGTAATTGCAGCTCTACGATATGAGGAAGATATTAGAACATCATTATGTAGTACAATTCGAAACCTCCCCGTCAGATTACAGGAAATAAGAAACGAAGCAGTGAATGACGAATTTATAAAGGAAACGAAAACAAAAATTGCAGGAAAAGATAAGCATATTGAAGACAGTTTTTCGTTATGTGATAATGTTTTATTATATAATGAAAGAGTGGTAACCCCGAAAACGCAACAAAGGCGAATCCTCAAGTATTTTCACATGGGCCACCCAGGAAAGAACAGGATGAAATCCTTAATGCGAAGTTATGTTTACTGGCCAAACATGGATCAAGATATTATATATATGGTGGACAAAAGCAATGGCTGTTCCTTAGCAGCCAAGGCACCTCCGATCACTCATAAGCCATGGCCTAAGACATATCGACCGTGGTCGAGAATCCATGTAGATTTCGCAGGTCCATTAGAGGGTTTCTACTACTTGATTGTAGTAGACAGTTACAGCAAATGGCTAGAAGTATTTCGTTGTAGAAAACCTACTTCTGAGACGACAATAAATTGCCTTCACGAGCTGTTTGCTCGTTTCGGAGTGGTTGATTGTTTAGTCACCGATAATGGGACACAATTTACATTTTCGGATTTTCCAGAATTTTGTGAAACTTTTCAGGTGAAACGCATCAAATCTCCGCCATATCACCCAAGGTCGAACGGGCAAGCGGAGAGGTTTGTAGATACATTAAAAAAAGCACTAAGGAAAGCTTATGATGTACCAACAGAAAAGGCTTTACAACAATTCTTGCAATTGTATAGAATTACACTGAACAGTACTACGCCATCGGCATTATCGCCGGCAGAAGTGATGTTCACCTGAAAAATTAGATCGGTATTCGACAAATTACTGCGAAAACAGACAAAGCAATCAACAACATCGTTTGTACCAAAAAGAAAATTTAGCCAAAGAGAGAAAGTTTTTTTTAAATGTTCAAAAACAACACATCCTATTGGGAGCCAGGTACAATAGAGAAACGAATCGGGAACGTGATTTACATAATTGAGGGTTCGAAGTTCTCGCATAAAAGGCACTTAAATCAGATCAGAAAGAGGCTGTTAGAGGATTCTAACGGTCTACCTCAGGAAGAAGAGGAAGTAATGGACACAATATTTGACACATTCAATATTCAAAGGCCTCAAGCAATTTCAGAACCGCGGAAATCAAGCAGAAAAAGAAAATTTACAGAGCCTTTGATGATTAATCCGAAGAGGGAAAAATATTAAAGACTCCTGCGAGGTAAAAGCTTGGGAGGGGGATGTTAAGGGTCCTTACCTATAACTATAGAATGAACCCTTCCTAACACTATGTATACTATGCCTCTCAAGAGAGAGGGACGAATCGAGTCGAGCCGATTGTAGTTCACTCCAAACCAGACTTCCACATCTTGTATTATTATTTCGTGTAATATACTTTCGTTATTTCTACTCTTGTGTTCGTGTTGTTCTTCCTTGGTCCTAATCTGGACCATAACAGATATATATATATATATATATATATATATATATATATATATATATATATATATATATATATATGTGTGTGTGTGTGTGTGTATAAAATTATTTATTCTAAAATTATAACATACATATGTTATAAAATCACTACAAAAATAGCTATTTTGTTTCAATACTTCTGGTGTCTTATCAAGTGATGGTGTTGAATGTAGAATAAAAAGTTTTAAACATTCAAATCAAGCAACCTTTTACAACTCTTTATTCTACATTCAACACCATCTCTTGATAAGACACCAGAAATGTTGAAACAAAACGGTTATTTTTTCTAGTGATTTTATAACATATTTATATTTATGTTATAATTTTAGAATAAATAGTTATATTTGCTCTACTCTGTATTGAGCACTCTTTTAAGAATAGTATTTATTGGTTATTGTAATTTATTCCGTATACACCAATCGTATACTTATATATATAAATATATATATATATATATATATATATATTACAGATTAAACCAAGCACAGATGACTATTAAAGGATGAACAATTTCCGAGGATTTTGATCTCATTCTGGGGATCTTTTTCCATGTTGTCCAAATCTGTGAATTTCTTTTGCTCAAGTTAAGTCTCGAAAAACAGTATATAAAACTCACTAATTTGATGCAATAGAATTTGTCTCGCATAGATTCGGGGTTTGTCTCATAGACTCGGAGGTGGACCACGAGACACTTGCACCGGCCTTGACTGTGATGCCCAAAAGGACTCGAACATTGCACAAAGAAATACGAACTTTGCATAATTTATTAATAACTTAAATCCTAATGTATCATATTGAAAATCGGAGGTTGAATAGACAGGTTTTGTCAGTGGTACAATCTATATATATATATATATATATTACACTTGACCTCATACTGGGTGATGATACATATCCTCTCAAAAGGACTTTTATTACAAATTATTGCTCTGTAATAATACATTGAAATACGAACCCATGGATTATATACCAACAAACTTATTACCTGTACTATATATATATATATATATATAATATAAATATATATGAATAGACAAACAAAATCCCTAATATGGTTTTTAATGTTAATATAATCAGACGTTTCGGTAATTAATCTTCAGGACATATTCAAAAACTAATATATATTCAATTCATATATATATATATATATATATATATAAGATATATAAATATGATCACGTCGTCGTCACGTGGGCGAAAATTCCTAAAATTTGAATTTTGAATGAAAAACTTCATTATATGTACGTTTGTCGATGAATTAATCTTGCTATACACTGTTCACCGTGCGTGAGATAGATATTATGCCCTCTCTAAATCCGCCTAAGATTTTTTATTATGAAAATATTTTTAAAATCTTCAGGTAATTTTGTTGTGTGTATTTTGTTTAAATTTCCGAGGCGAATATCTCGTTTATTTCGAAAACACGACATTTTACGGACTCTGTAATTTGAATACATTGGATGTAATCTTTAATAAACTGGATCTTCTAAAAATATTGAATTTCAGAACGCTATCTTATAAAAGATTTGTGTTTGGATTGGTATTGCTTTTATGTCCATCGTCTTTTTTCATGTTGAATTGAATATGGTCTATCTTAATTATGTTTTTATGAATATGTCCTGAAGATGGTCTATTAGACCGAAACGTCCGACGTTGACATTATATTAACATTAAAACAGCATAATTGCATATTAAGATTTTGTTTGTTTTTTCCGTATATTTTTTTCTTCATACTGTCGGATCTATATCCATATATTTGTTTGTATATATATATATATATATATATATATATATATATATATATATATATGTATCCCGGGTTCGAATCTGACCATGGTCAATTTGACAGGCAGGCGACTTCCTGATGATAACGGACTGGATCGAGGTCGATTCCAGCGTGCAGCACGTTTGGAAAGTGACTGAAAACCATACCACGGGTTGACCAAAGCCTTGTGTGTGAAATTGGGTAGACGGAAATCTTGTGGGACGTAGATAGCTCTGCTAGCACGAAGCCACAAGTCATCGTGGCCGAGAGCTTGAGCCTGATGGTCTTGTTCAAATTGTTGATCACGCTAGATAACACGCTCCCTTCTGTAAACTGTAACTAAAGACTAGTTGCAATATAAACCACAGGTGGTCTCAAATGCGCCTGAGAAAACGTCTGCAATAGGGATTGGCTAACCGCCCTAGTAGACGGGTATCCTCGACTACAGTGGCCAGTTATTATATATATATATATATATATATATATATATATATATATATGCATATAAATAACATAAAATATTGATATGGGAAGAGTCAAAAAATTTGACGGTCGATTTCAGAAACTTTAATTAAATTTAATTAAAAAAATAAAATTAATATATTATCTCTACTATTTGCTCTGTCTCTCTCTCTCTCTCTCTCTCTCTCTCTCTCTCTCTCTCTCTCTCTCTCATCTTCGCGGGGCGTAAGACAAATGCGAACTTATAGCAAATCATTACGGCACAAAAAATAAACATATTTACATAAGAATCTGCAATGTTATTGGTCCTGAGCTGGAATCTCGGCTTTAGGTCACTTTTCCAAATTCTCCAAGCCGTCTTTCCTCATTATATCGCCTAGCATTTAAACTCGGTTTCTGATTTTGTGTAGAAGGGTCCTTTTTTGTTTCTGTTTTCTTTCAATCTTCCTAGTTGCTCAGATGCTCCGTCCAAGGAATTCTCAGCATCCTTCTGTAGAACCACTTCTCTGTTGCCTGACGAATCTTCTTCATCTGAACATTTCAATCTACATCTCTCCAAAACAAGAATCAATCATTATCTATCCTCCTCATACTCATAAAGCTTACGGCCGTATCGCGTTGAATCACCGGTTTCCATACGATCATTTAAGCAACGACGAGCTTGGTCAGTACCAAGATGGGTGAACGCCTGGGAATAGCAGGTGCTGTAGGCTTAGATGTGAGGGTGGTGTAATGGATAATCGGAATTGTTAATCGGAGAGCTGAGTTCCAATTCCAGTTAGGTTCGTTATATTCACTTACGCGCAGATATCCTTGGGAATGGTAGGAATCCACATCTTCTCCCCAGCTATGGGTTAATTAGTAAGACTTGCATCATTAATCATTATCATCTCAAAAAAAATTCTTACAATCTAAAAATATTTTCTGGCTTTAAATAACCTTCAAAGTGTTGATAAACCGTAAAAAATGAATCAATGTAATACAGATTATCTACACAGGCCTGTCTTTTAGATTAATTTATATTCTCTGAAATGTATACAAAATACCGCGGCTACAAAGTGAGGGATCAGTTTATATATTGATTGTAGTATAGAATCTGATCAGATATAAATCCATAGCTTCTCCTCTCCAGTTATGGGTTAATTAATAAGGCTTGTATCACAAAACCATTATGATCTTAAAAAAAGAAAATTTTCATAATCTTAAAATATTTTATGGCTTTAAATAACCTGCAAAGGGTTGATAAACTGTAAAAAAAACGAATCAATCAATGAATGAAATACTGATTAGCTACACAAGGAATGTCTTTTAGATTTATTTAGAGTCTCTGGAATATTAATGTATAGAAACTACAATGGCCACAAAGTGAGGGATCAGTTCATATATTCAGTTTATATAGATTTCAAACATTTTCCACCATTTGGGCTTACGGATACATTATGTTGAAACACCGTTCCCTATACGATCAGCGAAGGTAAGCAACGTCGAGCCTGGTCATTACCTAAATGGGTGACTGCTTGGGAAGCTGTAAACTTGGATGTCCGGGTGATGTATTGAATAATGGCTAGGTATTGTTAACCGTTATATTCAATTACGTATAAATATCATTGGGAAAATTATGAATCCATCTCGGCTTTAAATAACCTGTAAAGGGTTGATAAGCCGTAGAAAATGAATCAATCAAATACTGATTAGCTACACAGGCATGTCTTTTAGATTTATTTACATTCTCTGGAATAGAAATGTATAGAAACTACCGTGACCACAAAGTGAGGGATCAGATTATATAATGATTGTAATATAAAATTGATCCCTCACTTTACATTCACTTATAATTTCTTGGTTGTTGATAAGCTGTAGAAAACGAATGAATCAATTAATGAAATACTGATTAGCTACACAGGTAGGACTTTTAAATTTATTTACATTCTCTGGAATATAAATGCATAGAAAATACTATGGCCACAAAGTGAGGGATCAGTTCATATATTGGTCATTATATAGAATTAATCTCCCACTTTATATCCACATTATAATTTCTTGTTTATCAAATTTTGACTAGATATGAACCCATGTCTTCTCCCCGCATCTATGGGTTAATTAGTAAAACTTCTATCACTAAATCATTACTATCTCAAAAAACATTTTTTACAAAATTTTCTGGATTTAAATAAACTACAAAGGGTTGATAAACCATAAAAATCGGATCAATCAATGATCTTCCTATCATTTTCACTTTCATTCAAATCGCGCACCTCATTCATCACTACTATTTTGACAGTACATTGAATGACAGTCGAGTCTTGTATTGGTTGAATTCTAGTATCAGAAAAAGCTTTCAAACTGTCAGGCCAGTGAATATATTTATGGAAGAATCTAATGAGAAATGATATATTTAAGCGTCTCACAATCTTAATTGAAGAGATGTGTATAATTAGTGGGTCAAAGGGCGTATAATTGCATTATGATCTGATAACCTCGGTTGGTCCGGTAAATGCATAATCCGGTGATTTAATGGAACTAAGAGTGCTGGAAAATCGATAATTGTATTTTTTTCTGCCTTTTTTCCCGCTTATTTCTTCTGTCTACTTTCACTTTCAGTTTTGCATATTTTTATAGTGGCTCGCGATTAACTTTTCCACTATACCACATCTTTAATCCCATTCTTTTTTATAGCCATTTTTTGAACTTATATCCTTTGCAATCTCTTCGAGTCTTTTTAATATTTTTCTCGAATTTTTCGTGAACCCTATTTTTTCAGTAATGAAAATATATATATACATATATTTTCATTTTCCTTTGCTTTCTCCGGGTGTGTGTCTTTCGTTGACTTTTTTTTTTCTCTCAGTCTATTGTAAACCTTACTTTTTTGCCACCTATTCCCTTTTCCTCCTCCCATTTTCCCACCCTCTCTCTCTCTCTCTCTCTCTCCTCGCCCATCATCACTCTCCCTCCGTACGTTATTCCTTCTCCCCTTTTCTCTTCCGTCCTCCTCTTAACCGGTTCCCGCTTGATCACGTTCTCCCCGCGCCCTTCATCTGTAGGTTCTCACAAACGAAATCAATTTAAACACTTTCCCCCTTACCCCGTCAATTATATTTTCTGGTCGACACCTTCCCACTCACCCTGATCCATCTAAGCCCCCATCCTTTCCTGACTCGTGATTGAGTGCAGCGGGTGGGGGGGGATAGGAATTAAGCAAGATGCACGAAATTAATTAGTGTAGCTACTCACCGTAGCCACTGCAAATCTCGTTCAAACAAAGGATTTCGATGGAGTCAGCTTATTTACTACAAGACTTTCCACTCGATTCATGTCCATCTATCTATCTATCTATCTATCTATCTATCTATCTATCTTAGTATGGTTATATCTATTTAACTATCTATCTATCTCAGTCTGGGATCTATCTATCTATCTATCTATCTATCTATCTATCTATCTATCTATCTATCTATCTATCTAATTCCGTTTATATTTATTTTGTTTTGACCATAACAATGAGCTTATGTTCAAATCTCTCGGCATCCTTCCTTTCCTTCCCAAATTACAAAATACCACAACTCAAGGTCTGTGACGAACACACAGACACACGTGTATACAGAGTGATTAACATATAAATAACCTTATGTTGTATGATTTTGGATGCGGTGTTTTTATGAGTTTATTATTATTATTATTATTATTACTACTACTACTACTACTATTTAAAAAATTGACAGTTATTTTTGTATGGATCGACACTTCTGACGAGGGTCAAGGCACATTTGCTTACGATCAGTACTATACCTGTCCATTCTGTGAAAAGTGTCAAATAAACACCCAATACACACACACACACACACACACACACACATATATATATATATATATATATATAGTAGAAGTAATCGATCCGTTGGTATATAATCCAGGTGGATCCTAGTAATATTAATTATTAAAACTGATCTACAAAGATCTCGGCGTTTTTATTTTAACAGAGCATATGTATATTTTACAGTAAAAAAACAAAAATTGCCTCAACATAGAGATAGACTATTTCAAGTCGTTCTGTGTGCGGCTATCATCAGCCCCTAAGTGTCTGTCTTTGTTTAAAATTTATGTTCAATCTCCTCTGGTAGACGCCTTGTTAATGAGAATGGGTCTGTGTTAGCGACTGGTTGGGGTGGGGGGTGTAAGTTATCTTATCCCATATATATATATATATATATATATATATATATATATATATATATATATATGCGAAGGTCGGCATATCACACTTTACTCCTAGAGACCCTAGCCCAACATATCATACCATTTTGAAATCAGGCCTAGTCGATGAGCAAATTGAAAACATTCCAGGCCAAATCCGAACCCGTAATCCTGAATTTGTGGATTCCCAAATTTTCATTAATGCGATTGTTTTCGGCGTTATTTTTTTTATTTTTTTTTTTTTTTTCATTTGTTTCTTGCAACAAATTTTTGTATGATAACAATTCTTATAACGTGGAAATAAATTTAGGAATAATCGAAATTAGTTGCGAAATCTAACGAAAGTCACTTATAAAATAAAATAATTGATTGCACGGAAAATCAGGACCTACATACATCAGATTATTAAGTGGCGGCAGAAAATTTATCACTGAACTATTAAAAGGTAAACATAAATATTGAAGCAATACTTAAACGGAGAGATCAATTTTGAGTAATGCAGTTTGTTGTTGCCTATCGCATATCACAACAGGGTGCCTTGCAAAAAGATATCTCCACCAACAGAGGACCAGATTGCAAGCAAAAGAGTCAAGGCTGCAGCGAGGAAAAGAAAGTCCCGTGAAAATAGAAACCAGATTAAATGGCGGCCGGGTGAGCTTCCATTGAGAATATGCAAAGACATAGGTACTCTCAAACAAACAAGCCGAAAGACCAATCGAGAGACATCCAATAGACCAGCTTTTAAGCTAATATATATATATATATATATATATATATATATATATATATATATATATATATATATATATATGCAAGTATATGATATACGGAATGAATTCCAATGACCAACAATTACTATTCTTAAGAGAGTGCTCAATACAAAGTAGAGTAAATATAATTATTTATTTGAAAAAAATTTATAACATAAATATGTTATAAAATCACTACGAAAATAGCCATTTTATTTCAACACTTCGACCAATCAAAATACAAGTATAGGAAAATTCAAAAAGTTTGACAACGATGTCATGTTATGTTGTTGTAAACTTACTAGTGATTAAATTTGGATTTTAAAATTGACAGTTTTTAATTTTAATATAAAATTCTATCATATAATTTAATAATTATTGGTTAGAATAAATTCTTTTTTAATATTACCCGTATTTTAAAGATCTGAATAGCTATTATAACATGACTTCGTTGTCAAGCAATTTTTCTATACTTGTATTTTGACTGGTCATTCTAGCTTTTGTAACAATGTTTTCCCCTTGTGAAGGATCGTTAATTAAGTTGAAACTTTTAAAACCATTTATTTTACATTCAACATCATCACTTGATAAGACAGCGGAGGTGTTGAAACAAAATGGCTATTTTTGTAGTGATTTTATAACATATTTATGTTATAGATTTTTTAAATAAATAATTATATATATATATATATATATATATATATATATATATATATATATATATATAGCCTTCCCTGACGATCTGCTTAGATGAAACCTTGGTAGGTTTGTCTGGCACTCTAGGTTTAAATATATATATATATATATATATATATATATATATATATATATATATAATATATATATACAATAACCAAAAATACTATTCTTAAAAGAGTGATCAATACAGAGAGAAAATATCATTATTTATTCGAAAATTATACCACAAATATGTTATAAAATCACTAAAAAAATAGCCATTTTATTTCAACACTTCTGGTATCTTATCAAGTAATGGTGTTCGAATAAATTATATATATATATATATATATATATATATAAAAATATATATATATATCAAGTGATGGTGTTGAATGTAGAATAAAGAGTTGTAAAAGGTTGCTTGATTTGAACGTTTAAAAACCTTTAATCTACATTCAACACCATCACTTGATAAGACACCAGAAGTGTTGAAACAAAATGGCTATTTTTGTAGTGATTTTATAACATATTTATGTTATAATTTTCGAATAAATAATTTTATATTTATATGTATTTCAATTAAGCCCACATATATATATATGTATGTATTTCAATTAACCCCCCACATATATATATGTGTGTGTGTGTGTGTGTGTGTGTGTATGTATTTCAATTAACCCGACACCGATACATTTATAATAACATTGCTTTTCTTCTCTTTCCGTTCTTCTTTTTCTTCATGCGTTTTTATTTATTTTTTAAAATAATAATATAACGTCAATTAATTTTAACAAAAATAAAGCGCTAAGAGGTCATTTGATAAATATCCCCTGAAGATACCGTAAGGTTAAAACCAAGGTAGCGGATTCAACTGACTTCCTGATTTTTAAAGTATATATATATATATATATATATATATATATATATATATATATATCTGATAAAACATAATATAAATGTATGCTATATTTGTAGGGTAAAAGTGCTCACTGTCTGAGAAAGTGCGTATGTAAATATAAGCAGTTTAGACACAGATTTCAACACTGAATGTCGACATTCTGTTTCATGCTTGAATGCAATCTTCAGGCCCGAACCATGAAACGGTTTGGTTTGGTTTGTTTTACGGCATATCAACACCTCAATGGGTTATTTAATGCCAACAAAATTTTTATTGCTGGTAATATTTTTTTTTCAAACATGTATTGCTAGTAATATTTTTTTCTTTCAAAAATATCTAATTCTGATAATAATTTTTATCAAAAAAGGATTGCTGGTAAAATTTATTTTGCCGATAATAATGTATTGATAGTAATAATTTTTTCTTTTTCTTTTACAAAGCATTTCTGGTATTAAGACCTATTTTTACACTTTCATAGTGTTTTGACCCCAATTTGGGGGTTAACTATTTGCCCATAGTTGAGACCCTAACAGCTGCTACCACCCCGGGTCAGGGTGGACCTGAGAACACCAGCAATTAAGAGGTGGTTCCACGTTCCTCAAAACCTCCTGATCAGAGGTCTTGCTGTTGGACAAGATTTTTAGTGCTGGTAATATTTTTTTTCCAAAAATGTCTTGCTAGGTATAATTTTGACAAAAATGTATTGCCAGTAATAAAACCTATTTTTACACTTTCACACTCCTCAAAAATTCCTGATCAGAAGCCTTTTCTTGTCGGATGTAGCTTATCGTCTTACCCAGGACTCGGATGTAGTTTATCGTCTTACCCAGGACGCGGATGTAGTTTATCGTCTTACCCAGGACGCGGATGTAGTTTGTCGCCTTATCCAGGACGCCGATGTAGTTTATCGTCTTACCCAGGACGCGGATGTAGTTTGTCGCTTTATCCAGGACGCGGATGTAGTTTATCGTCTTACCCAGGACGCGGATGTAGTTTGTCGCCTTATCCAGGACGCGGATGTATTTTATCGTCTTACCCAGGACGCGGATGTAGTTTGTCGCCTTATCCAGGACGCGGATGTAGTTTATCGTCTTACCCAGGACGCAGATGTAGTTTGTCGCCTTATCCAGGACGCGGATGTAGTTTATCGTCTTACTCAGGACGCGGATGTAGTTTGAAGCCTTATGCAGGACACGGATGTAGTTTATCGTCTTACCCAGGACGCGGATGTAGTTTATCGTCTTACCCAGGACGCGGATGTAGTTTATCGTCATACCCAGGACGCGGACGTAGTTTATCGTCATACCCAGGACAGGAACCATGAAACTCTGCCCACACTGCTTATATATATTCACCATTATTTGCAGGCAGTTCTTCAAGACCTTTTGAATATCACTCCGCAGATTTTTATGTAAGACGTTTTTTTCGAAGAATTCTTAAATATGATTTTGCTTAATGAAAGTTTTCCTAATGAAGTCGCTTTTTATCAATCGAAAAATATAATTGGTTGGTGCAAGTTTAAGTGAACATGGAGTTGACGATTGAACAGACCAACGAAGTTGCAAATTTTTCTCAGGTGTTACCCTTCAAGCATGCGGTTATGTAATGTCATGAAAGAGAACAAATATTTCTTTTCTTTTCGACCAAAACTCTACGGCCACGTTGCAGATGATGGACGTATAAATGTGCATTTACTGTTTGATTGCGTTTTACGAACTCTAAATGTAATATACCCCGACGATCCCACCTCACCCGTAACATGATATTTCTTCAATGGATCTCAGCTTTTGGACTCGTTTGTGAAGATTTACTCCACTGCCTTTTAAGTTTAACATTGTTGTATGCAACCCATTGTTCATCGCCTGAAGTGATACATTTAATAACGGGAATTACTTATGACTAAACTTAATACTTATGCGCATGTATGTCAGATAGAACGAGGTT